GCCTGAAACCAGGGCCTAGCGACGGCATCCAACGCCGAAGTGGCATCCGCGATCGCTTCTGCCAAGGTCAGCCGTGCCCTCAAGATGGAGAAGCCCTTATACGCCCTCCTCGCCCTGGCCGACTCTGCCTCTGTCGGCACGGACCCCGCAAAGGCGGCGACGGCCCTTGACGGCGTAACGGCAGCGGCGGTCAAGAAGGCAGCGGCCGCCGCGATCAAGTCGGGCATGTCGATGGCTTCTGTAGGCAACATCTTGGAGGTGCGTCGTGCATATTATGTATACTTGATGCAAGCTGCTCTGAACAAGTCGAAAGCTGTTTAAGGAGGGCTTCCCGAACAGCAGCATCCACCGCTTTCGACCTCAAGTGGCCAGTGCGTAACTGTAGTACGGAGGGCGTGCGTGTGGCCCGTCATCTTCGCAAGGGATTGTGGTGGCTTTCGCTGTGTGCCATATCAATTACAGTAGTAGGTGGTCCTCGTTGGTGGCTTCGACTACAACACACTCTTTTGGTCGTCTTGTGTGGTAACGTATGTTTGGACTAGGGCGGTGGAGTGTGCTGGGTAATTTTCTGCTTTGTCCGCACTACTGCTGTACTGCTAAGTATCCTCCCCTTTCCGAACACGCCTCCTTGGTGATGGTTTGATAGATCGGCACGCGGGCGGTTGTTGCATGTTGTCGTTGACCGTGCGTCCTTCCCGCGAACGAAGCAAGCAAAAGAAAGAGACCAGACCACCATCACCAAAACCCTCTGCATCCTTACCATCCTGCTCGCCTGCCGAAATTCGAACTCCCACGTAGGCATGCTGGTGCATGCGAGAGCGGCGAATACAAAAGCACGATATTTACCCCGTCCTCGGCCCTGCACTCAAACGTCCCACCCAACTCGTCCATCAAGCTCTCTACATACCTTACCGTGCGATAGACCCCCATAATCCACGCCCGCCTGCCCCACGTTTTGTTCGCGCGCTCGCTCTCAGGTACCGCAAAAGGCGGAGATCGTGGCAATGCTCTGATCCGGGGGTGTGGGTCTAGACTACTAGTGGTTCCTTTTTCATAGCTCCCTTGACGTTGTGCGGGCGAGAGGGGCACTTGTACGGGCTTGCTGGTGAAGGTCATGATTTTTTTGTAGCTGCACACCCTGAATTTCTTCAAGACTGGATGGGAGGAGAAGATGGATATGGGAAGGTTCGAGACCCTGGGGGAGTTCTAGGACGCGTTTTTTACCGCCCATTACCTCTATCTGGTATAGTCTACACTTGATACAGAGTACTATAGCAGCAATAGGAGCTTTTCAAGTTTGGTGCGTACGCCACGCGGGCCCCGTGTGGACGGCTGCTATCCTACGTTGACAGAATCAAATCGTTTGGGTTTTCAGCGAGACCAATGAATGATGAATGCTCGGTGCTTTTCTCGCAGAATCTCATTTTTCTCCCTCTCGTCGTCTACCCGGCTCAAGCCGCGTCTCGGGGAGGGACACATACATGCCTTGCATCTCACAATCGTCAGGCGCAGGTCTACGGTTGTCTCCTGCCAGTGGGCATTTCGCACAATCTCCATCCTCACGGTTTCCCCCGTTTTTTCGGCACAAGCCTCGGTGCTGGTACGGAAACCCGCTAAAACACAACGACCGACGGCAGTGCCAGAGCCGTCGAGTTGAAAAATGTTAGCGTCACCTGTGTACAGGTCCGTGAAGTTGTGCGGCGGGGGGGGGGTGACAGAAAACAGAGACAATCTAGTACACTTGTGCCGAGAGAGCAAGGATATCACCTCCTCGGTCGTTCAAGGCACTCATGAATATAATTGTTTGAAAGATCTCCGGCCGTGCAGCTACGGGTGAGCCTTGTTTTTTGACCAAATCTCACTCTCCATCGTCTTCACCAAAAAAAACGAGAGGCGTTCTTGCACGCCTAGCATTATCGAACTACAGACCCCCCTCCGCCCCAGCCCACCCATCTGTCTTGCCCAGCAGTTGGTTCAACTCTCCTGCAACGCATGAGATACTCACGGAAGTCAACAAGAGAAAACAAACGTTTTTTAGCCTTTCGTGCCACTGCAGCAGCAACAGCAACGAACACACCGCCTACGCCTCTCGGCGAGTCTGATGCCCTCCCCCATCCACAGCAGTCGTTACACGTGCAGCACAAAAGATTCCCCGCGGTAAACTACTTGAATTGAAGAAACAAAATACACACCTCCACACAACTGTACGTAGGGACAGGTGGGTGTAAAGGATAAGGTTAAGGTGGCGATCATCCCAATCCTTAAAAACCGCGGTAGATGACACCACTCAGCAATGAACTTGGCCCGAGAAACTGCTTCGAAGCAAAACGTAGATATTTTACCAAAGAAAAGACCGCTGTCGTCGCCCTTTTGCATCTTATGCCTGCAAGGAGGATACGTAGTGTCTGAGCACGAAAGTGCACCCATGGCGCAAAATGCCATCAATCCCCACCGTCGATGAGCACTCGTTCTACCGGCGCGCTGATCAAAACATTTAGTACGCCCTCTCGGGGTCACGACAACAGCGCAAGACTCGGGAAAATCAAAACAGGTTCCAGTTTTTTACCTGTAGCGTCCATTAAACACCGCACAAAGCCTGGGGGTGGGACTGGGGGGGTGTCGGAGGACGATTTTGTCTACCGTGCAGCGAGACACTAAGAACAGCATGAATGCGTGTTGGCGGGTAGTTGCGCCCCCGCAAAAATCGTAGCGCCTACATCCACACTCAAAACCTCTCAACGCGTGCCGCCGCTTGTCGGGCCTACTCGCCCTCTGTGCTTAGCGGTGGAATCGAAATCACAAAACCCCCGGGGGCGTCGCGAGCGCAAAACGGCCAAAACATGGGTGCGCTGGGGGACGGATTAATCGCCGGGCCCAAACCAACGAAGAAGGTAGACAGAAAAAGGGAGGCTCACTGCTGCCGCCCGCCTATCCGTACGCGTGCGTCCACCCAGCTTCTTCCTGCAAACGGCAGCGGCGGCACTCCTTGACGCCCCGCCTCCCCTCCCTTGCCCTCTCGGAAGGGACGCCAAGGCCACCAGGGAGCTATAACGCCCATTGACAACACTAACGGCCGACACGACCGACATTTGGCGCGCCCACTCGGTTCAAGCCGACCCCCCAACGACACGCACCAAGCTCAACAGGTAATCTACGAAAGACAAACGCCAGAGCGGCACCAAACACAACATGGGACAAGTTATTTTCTGTCTATCCACCTACCCACCCCCAACCGGTTTCCTTTAACCCGTACATACCCTCCCCCCCCCCCCCCCCCCCCCCCCCCCCCCCCCCCCCCCCCCCCCCCCCNCCCCCCCCCCCCCCCCCCCAATCCCTGACAATAAAACACTCCATCTGTGCAGCTTGGACACACACACAAAAAAGGACAGCGCATCAGAGGAAATAATCCGGCACTCGTTTGCTCTGGCGCCAGTTCTCGTCACGTGGTGCAGGGTCGAACTGAGTGCTGTGGACAGCAGGAGATGCACACACACGGGGGGGTGGTATACAGCGTCATGGAGATGGCATCGCGGATGGTTCATATGCTTATGTAGGCTCAAACGGATTCAAATCAACTCCAGCAGCCGTTCTTCCCCGTTCACTGCAAAGACTTGACGTCAACACAGCCCCTTCGACTGTGGATGTATCTCGAGCAGGTCGTCTTTCTCCGATTGTCTTGTCTGTTTCTTTTTTTTGTTACAACATTTTTTGCCCAGAAAACAACGCCTGCACAAGCAGCATGCGTTTGTAACACAGTACATTCAACACACCAATATTGCGTGTGGAAGAACTTTGCAGTATTGGCATATGCGTCACAATGCAACCAGTGCTCATGTTGAAATAGAAACGGTATCAAATGTTATCCTACAATCCAACAGAAGCAAGGCTGCCTTGAACGCATCGCACAGGCAAAGCCTACACCAGCACCAGCAACTACAACGACCATAACGCAATTTGCAGTCCCTCCGCAGTAGGGGATCATGAGAGCACGCACATGCACACGGTGTCATCAAGGGGTGAAGCAAAATGGAAATACAAACAGGCAGCAGGACCAACCCACAGCTGGCTACCAGCTGCGCTGTGAGGTTTCCCAAGCTCAAACAGCTGACGTGTTTTTCACTCGAACAGCCCAGCGAATCAAAATTTACAATTTCTGTTTACAGCAGTCTTACAAGTTGCAGTGATCGTAGAGAGCCTCGCTGATTTGCTTGGGCACCGTCTCGTCGACCTCCATGATTGCCGCCTGGTTCCCGCAGCGGTAGCAGTAGTTAGGGGCGCTGAAGATGGTGCACACCCCCTGAGAGAATTAGGTGGGCAGAGGTCAAGGGTAAGAACAAACAAAAGCAGTGGGGCGGGGCGGGGGGGGGGCACCGCAGGATGCACCGGTCAGAATTTTTCGTTACCATGGAACGCGCAGAGGGGCGGTGTTCTGCAAGTACCGCTATGTGCGAGGGGGTGGCGGTGGTGCTCGCGCGTCAGGTGGCGGTGGGACCTCGGCCTCAGCGGCTGATGATGTGGGCACTAGCTTCTGTGTTGGGGGCAGCCAGAGTTTTACCTTTCATGACTGTTGGGTGGCTGGTGTTTATACTGATCGCGAAGGTGTACACCGGTGGTGTGATTTGTGTTGCCCCGGTCTCCGCTCTTTTCCCCTCCCCCTTTGGCGAGCGAAGGGGGGTACGCGGGAAAATAGAGACAAAACTTTTTTCTCATCGATTAAATGAACATTTTCCCCGGCATCCCGAGTCTGCCTCCAGAACCATCGCCGACTAAACCTACCCGCTGCCAAACAACGGGGACCCCGAGCAGAAGCATATATGAAATGATGACCCCACGGCTCTCCCAGAAACGTAACAAAAGAGGTACGTCGGCCTCAATGATGGGCGCAACGTGCGGTGTTGTCTCCAATACACACCTGATTGTGAGTCCATTGGTAGCCCTCCATCACCAGCTGGTGAGCTCGGGCGATGAACATCAAGCCATTGGTGTGGTTGAATTGCTCCGTGATGTCCTAAAATGAAGATAGAACGGGGACGGCGAGTAAGAAACACGCATAGACAGGCGACGGCGATCGTACCTGCCGATTGGACTACAATAAAAAACAAAAATTTCGACTGCGAACTTAAATCCCATGACGAAACAAGGGTGGTATCTACGACTTTGAAAAAACAATTTCGTGTTCCTCAGGGTCAAGGTACAGCCAGCGCATATCTGCCACATTCGAAACTCCGGTTGCTACCTCAAACAACTGCTGCAATTGTGTATCAGCGAGGTGGGCCGGCGGTCGTGTTTTAATGTCAAGACAGAAGGCGTGAACAGAAAAACACGCGAGTTGTGCTCCAGAACCATGTCACAATATCATTCCCAAGTGTCGACATCTACGACATCTACAGACGGAGCGTCTCTCTCTCTCGCGCGCGAACCTACTTGCCTGAACGTGTACCCACCCGCCTGCGGGACATTCCCCTACACCAATGTATTTTCAAGTGTCGACGTCTACGACATCTACGGACTGAGCGTTTCCCTCGCGACAAGGAAAGTCTACAATATCTGCCCGAAAGTGTCTCCGCCCACCCCCCTGGGGGAACATTTCCTCTGAACCATGACATTTTCATTTCAAGTGCCGAGACATCAACGGCGTCTACGGACTCGTCATCTCCCCTGCGCGAGAACGCACCTGCCCGAAAGTGTACCCCGCCCCTCTGGGAGAGATGCCCCAACCGCAACGGTCGTCGGGGTCCGACCAAACGAGGTCGCACATAGGGCCCTCGTGGGGCACCTGCACGCAGGGACAACGTCAAACCATGCATGGCGGAGTGAGGGTACGCGTGTGAATGAGCGGGTAGGTGGGGGGTCTATGTCAAATCATGCATGGCGGAGTGAGGGGGGGGTGTACTCATAGTCGTGCATGCCGTAGTCGCTAGACCATTGACCTCGCATCCCTACAAAGCCGGGACGGAGCACGCCGGGTTCTCACCGGACCAGGCTCTCACATCACCAAGCGCGAAGCGCCGTGAGATATTCGGCGAGTCGCATGAAGGGTGCGCTGCATCCTGCTAAGGGTGTTCGGCATCTTGTGCTTACTTCCTTGCGTACGGATGACAGCTGCGTCATGACTAAATTTATTTTCTGGTGCTTTCACTCTTGAGACCGTTATAAGCACTGTGTAACTGCCTCGAGGGTGCTTGACCATTTTAACACCAACGTGGTGCGATCATC